ATGAGGCCCTTATGCACGTGGGGCTCATGGACAGGTACCTAGCGGGACCCGAGCGTTAGGACGGCACTTCGTTTAGGATAGGCGGCCTTGAAGTCCGCGTCAATGAGAGTATATAAATCACGAAGGAGATTTGAAGCTAGAACCACCGGACCGGTTGGAATGTGTGCTAGCCTCTGAGCTATCACCACTCCAGACACATCATCATCAAACAATAGGTCCTTTGGAGAACGTCGCTCCCTCCACAGCACGCCTGAAAGTCTCTCTTTCTCTAGCCAATTCTTCAGCCCTATGTGCTTTCGTATCAATGCGTCTCCGATGTCTTGCATCCTTAATTGTGAAGGTCGGCTTCTGCCTCGTTTTCCGAAATCTTCACCTTCCTTCATCGCTCAGCCCCGACTGCTATGACGTTTAACTAGGCCACATTACACAGCTTTCGGGAGATAGTGCTGTTTATGAGTCAATTCTCTTTAATCTTCATCAATTAATCAAGTAACAGAAAGTATTGTGAACGGCACTTATAGAAAGAAGTAGAAAGATAGAAGAACACACTAGACAACATAAAAATCGAAAGCTATAATTACCGTGCCGGGAATTGAACCTGTCACCTCCAGACGGCGTCTGCGCCTCGCCATGAATACAAGTGCACTAAGATACATGGTCAACTAGGCACCCCCAAAAAAGGCGTCTCACTGTCCATGTCTATCGTACAGCTTGAAATCCACAACTATGGAATACGGACAGAATTCATTTCAACCCATTGAAATGGCATCATAGGTTACAGAAATTTATATTAACGAAGCAAATGTCGAATAACAATCAAAGCAACTATTTACGAACACATTAGACCTTATTGCTTTGTCTAGAATACACAAACATATCTTCATATCACGTAGGATGTCGACTTTGTTCTTGTTCTTCTTGATCCACTGTGTTGTGAGGAATTGTATGTAGCATTTCAGTTAAAAAGCTCCTGATTCATAACCAGGGCTGCCGAAATTTGTTTGGGAATATTACCACTTTTTTTTAAATATTTAAAAAACACTTTAAAACATCCTTAAACACACGCGCGTGCGCACACACACGCACGCACGCACACACACACACATGCGCGCGCGCTTAAATTACTAGTTGGACTCGCAACGCCTAAGCCAGGGACGCCACTGTAAAAAGTAAAGCCACCGTATAAACAAGATCAAACACTGCTGGATAGTCTGCATCTGGGGCGTAGAGTTAGATAAGTACATTTTCATGAAGAAAAGGGCCCTAAGCTACAACTGCCTACAAAGAACGTATGGCCCATTTATGGATGTGGGGTCGGATGCTTGGATGAAGGCAAAGAAAAAGGGGAAGGAAGCGTACAATTTTCAAGCTTCGGATATTTCAATTTACCTGTTAAATAATTATTTCGCAAAACATATTTACGAGAGGTTAATGTTTTTGTAGTTGTTTACACTAGGGGTTCTAAAACTTTTTTCACCGCGGCATCCTTGTGGGGCTAAAAAAAATTCGCGGCACACCTGAGCTCAAAGCAGTTGAAAAAGTAGAGAAAAAAAAAAGGGGGGGGGGGGGGGGGCGGATGTTCAGTTGTCTTTAATGCGATTGATGAAAATGTTTCGATGAATTTGTCATTATATCTTTTTATTTTTAGAAATTCTCTCCAACATAAATGACCCTTCCTGAAGAGATATAGCGCAGTGATTGAACATTTCTTAACTTTCAAGGACTAAATCAGAATCATCGTTAGATTCCAGGTGACTCTTTAATTTGGGCGGAACAAAGCAACCGTTAGGAACACTTCTGTGACAGTTTACGTACTTCTGGTGCTTGTTCGTTCCCAACCGAAACAAACTTTCTCAACTTTACTTATTCACCGCACCTTCACAAATACAGATGGAGGATCGGTCGCACCTCGAGATAAATACACGTACAGTTTTTAGCACGCTGGGGTTGGCGTTTTATGCAGTATGATACACGTTGAGTGTGAAACAAGGAACAAACTCTTTTCGACAGTGGCGAGGAAGGACAACTTAAATTGTAACTTTCAATTATGTTCAGGCCTTCTTTAACATTGTTCACAATTTTTAGCCGATATTCTTGATTTTTGCCGTGGCACCCTTGCCATATGTTCGCGGCACCCCAGGGTGCTGCGGTCCCAGTTTGAGAACCTCTGGTTTACATAATCTTTACATTACAATAGTGCAAACGTGAATTTGTTAATGGAACATTTTACGTTTTCTTGTTTCTCCAGTCTAATAACTGCATTAATGGTTCAGTAAAGAGCTCTTGTCCAGGTCTCGGTGGGGTGACTGCAATATTTTGAGCTGAAAACGGGACATCCTGTTATATTATCCATACACCCTCACAGATAAGCACTAACATATGAGTTATCACACTGTTATATTCTTCATACACCCTCGCAGAGAAGCACTAACATATCAGTTATCACACTGTTATATTCTCCCTACAGCCTCGCAGATAAGCACTAAACATATCAGTTATCACACTGTTATATTCTCCATACACCCTCACAGAGAAGCACTAACATATCAGTTATCACACTGTTATATTCTCCCTACAGCCTCGCAGAAAAGCACTAACATATCAGTTATCACACTGTTATATTCTCCCTACAGCCTCGCAGATAAGCACTAAACATATCAGTTATCACACTGTTATATTCTCCATACACCCTCACAGAGAAGCACTAACATATCAGTTATCACACTGTTATATTCTCCCTACACCCTCGCAGATAAGCACTAACATATCAGTTATCACACTGTTATATTCTCCCTACACCCTCACAGATAAGCACTAACATATCAGTTATCACACTGTTATATTCTCCCTACAGCCTCGCAGATAAGCACTAAACATATCAGTTATCACACTGTTATATTCTCCATACACCCTCACAGATAAGCACTAACATATCAGTTATCACACTGTTATATTCTCCCTACAGCCTCGCAGATAAGCACTAAACATATCAGTTATCACACTGTTATATTCTCCATACACCCTCACAGAGAAGCACTAACATATCAGTTATCACACTGTTATATTCTCCATACACCCTCACAGAGAAGCACTAACATATCAGTTATCACACTGTTATATTCTCCCTACACCCTCGCAGATAAGCACTAACATATCAGTTATCACACTGTTATATTCTCCCTACACCCTCACAGATAAGCACTAACATATCAGTTATCACACTGTTATATTCTCCCTACACCCTCACAGATAAGCACTAACATATCAGTTATCACACTGTTATATTCTTCATACACCTTCGCAGATGAGCACTAACATATCAAATATTACACAGTTGTTTCTCCCTACACCCACGCAGATAAGCACGAACATATCAATTATTTCACTTTTGCATTCTCCCTACACCCTCGCAGATAAGCACTAACAAAGTTATCACACTCTTATATATTGTTTTTACAATCGTCGATAAGCAATAATAGATGAGTTATTTCACTGTTATATTCTTTCTATAACCGCGCATATAAGCACTAACATATAAGTTATCACACTATTATAGTCTCCATACACCGGTTTAGATAAGCACTAACATATCAATTATTTCACTGTTATATTCTTCCAATAACCGCGCATATAAGCACTAACATATAAGTTATCACATTTTTATATTCTCCATAAACCGTTTATAGATAAGCACCAACATATCAATTATTTCAGTTTTGTTTTCTCCCTACACACAGGAAGATAAGCACTAACATTTTTTTTTTTTTTTGCGTGCACCGGCTGTGAATTCCGGCGGGAGGTCACGGTTAATCGTCCACTTGGACTTTTGACTTTCACCCGGACCTGCTACATATTAATTATTTCACTATTATATTCTCCTTACACCCTCGCAGATTAACCCTAACATATTAATTATTTCACTGTTATATTCTCTTTACACCCACGCAGATTATCCCTAACATAATAATTATTTCACTGTTATATTCTCCATACACCCGTGCAGATAAGCACTAACATATCAGGAATTTTACTGCTGTATTCTCCCTAAACACGCACACAGATAAGCATCAACATGTGAATTATTGCCCTGTTATATTTTAACTACACCCACACAGATAAGCATTAACTAATGAGTTATGTCACTGTTAAGTTATCCCTACACCCACATAAATAAGCATTAACGGGTTAATTATTTCACTTTTATACTCTCCCTACAACCACGACTCGTAAGCCAGCATACTGCGATCGAAACCCACTGCAGGCTGCGTGGATTTTTGTCGTGGTATGGGACGTCGCAGGTCGACCCAGCCTAAAATGGGTACCAGGATGGGCTGTCCTGGGAAAGTAAAGACAGCCGGCGTAATGCTGACCACATTACCCACAGAGTGCTGATGGTCTGTAAAAATATGGGACGCTCTGCCCATATGCCCGATGCGCCGAAAGGCGTGAAAAGGGAACTTTACTTTACTTTACACCCACGCGTAATCATTACCCTGTGAATTATTTTACTGTTATATTTCCCCTACACCCACGCAAAAAGGCATTAGCATGTGAGTTATTTCACTGTTATATTTTCCCTATACCCACGTAAATAACCATGCATGTGAGTTAATTCACTGTTATGTTATCACTACATTCACACCAATAAGCACTAACGTATCAGTTATCTCACTGCTACATTCTCCCTACACCCACGCAGATCGACATTAACATTATCAGTTATCTCACTGTTACATATTCTCCCTTTAGCCACGCAGATCGGCATTAGCATTATCAGTTATCTCACTGTTACATATTCTCCCTTTACCCACGCAGATTGGCATTAGCGTTATCAGTTATCTCACTGTTACAAATTCTCCCTTTACCCACGCAGATTAGCAATAACATTATCAGTTATCTCACTGTTACATATTCTCCCTTTACCCACGCAGATTAGCAATAACATTATCAGTTATCTCACTGTTACATTTCTCCCTTTACCCACGCAGATCGGCACAAACATGCTTACTATGAGGCGCTGGAGTAGCAGTAAAGAAATCTCCCACACCCCACTGACGGACGCCGTGAAGATAGCCGTGGGTAAACCCAAGAAAGGACTGAAGCAGCTACGGAAGGCTATCAAATCCCACACAGACATGAACCAACGAGATGCTGCAGGATTCACAGGTAGTGATGACGTAGTATTAATAACAGTCAGGACAACACTATTGTAGTAGTACTTGCACTTTTGGGGGGAATTTTTAAATATTTTTTAAGTACTTCAGGGATAAAAACGTTGTCATAAGTACTGGTAAGACACTGGGCTACAACCTGGCATCAGTGAGACGAAAGAAGAAGAAGAAGAAGAAGAAGAAGAAGAAGAAGAAGAAGAAGAAGAAGAAGAAGAAGAAGAAGAAGAAGAAGAAGAAGAAGAAGAAGAAGAAGAAGAGGAAGAAGAAGAAGAAGAGGAAGAGGACGAGGAAGAGGAAGAGGAAGAAGAAGAAGAGGAAGAGGAAGAGGAAGAAGAAGAAGAAGAGGAAGAGGACGAGGAAGAGGAAGAGGAAGAAGAAGAAGAGGAAGAAGAAGAGGAAGAGGAAGAGGAAGAGAAAGAGGAAGAGAAAGAGGAAGAGAAAGAAGAAGAAGAAGAAGAAGAAGAAGAAGAAGAAGAAGAAGAAGAAGAAGAAGAAGAAGAAGAAGAAGAAGAAGAAGAAGAAGAAGAAGAAGAAGAAGAAGAAGAAAAAGAAGAAGAAGAAGAAGAAGAAGAAGCCTTTTTAGACACTAAGTACCGATACTATTTTTTCCCTTAAAAAACACGGGGGGGGGGGGGGGGGAGGGAAGATGTCCTTTTAACAGTACCAGATTGTAGAGTATAAACTATTAGGTTTCACATATTTTAAGTATCCGCGTCGCAGCTTAGGCGTTGTAAACGAGCTTTGCAATGCCGGGTTGCCATTTTCGATGCCAGCTGCGGGCCTTGCGCCTTGCTTGGCTTCAACAGTGGTATCATGAAGCCGACCGTCCAGGAAGCAATGGCACATTACTAGACGTAAGTGTACTTAGAAAACCCGGAACAGCCAAAAAAATGTTGGGGTTGGTTTTGCAAAGTCATGTAAATGATAAGGTTAGGTGAGTATCTTTTACAGGCCATTGCAGAACCAACCCCAACAGCCCCTGGCTGTTGTGTGGTTTTTGTAGGCAAATTTACGTACAGTAGTTTGCCATTGATAACTGGACGGTCGGCTTTCTTGATATCACTGTCGAAACCAACGCAAGGCGCATGGCCCGCAGCTGGCATCGAACCCGGCATCCCGGCATTACGAAGCGTTCGCTACGACTTAGCCACATAGGCGACCATGTAAAAGATATGCAACTATAAAATATTGTATGTGTACTTTTTAAAATGATAATTATATTGTGTAATCTGTCTTTATAAACAAACAGAAAATGTACCATCAACAGCTAGATAAATCTTATCCTGATTAACAGGCAGTATTCATGGACATTTGTTAGATTAGATAAATTTTTTTAGACGAAGATGACAAATATTTTGGAAAGACAAAAGGGGTCATGAAGATGTCTTGAAAGAAATTGACTCATAAAATGAGCTGATTTCCCACATCAGAAGGAGATCATTTACATTCTTTGGTCATTTCAAGAGAGGGAGAAAACTGGAGAACATCGTTATAATGGGAAAGATGGAGGGAAGAGAGGCAGGGGGAGGCAGGGAAAGAAAATACTGGACAAAATAACATTAGGGATGGAAGATCATCTGTGTCAGAACTGATTGAAAGTACACGAAAAACAGAAGATTGTGCATAGATATAACTACCAACACCACAAGACATGAATTATGAAGATCATCTATGTCAAAGCTGTTTGAAAGTAGAGAAAACAGAAGTTTGTGGATAGACATAACTACCAACGGCACAAGGTATGGAAGATCATCTGCGTCATAACTGATTAAAAGTACACTATACATAAATTTTAATAGAAATGACTGTCAATGCAACAAGATATGGAAGATCTTCCGCGTCAGAACTGATTGAAAGTAAACGAGAAGTTATGTATAGATTTTCAACCAACGCCACATGATATGGAAGATCTTCTGCGTCAGAACTGATTGAAAGTAAACGAGAAGTTATGTATAGATTTTCAACCAACGCCACATGATATGGAAGATCTTCTGCGTCAGAACTGATTCAAAGGAACACATAACTATTAACGCCACACGGCATGGGCTTTAAAAAGATTAGGAATTTTTCTTTGGAGTATTTAAACTTATCTGCGATGCAATTATTATTTCTGTCTTACGATACATTGACACCTCACTTGCTAATCCTTATTCGTGTAATATAAGGTTTGACCGTTCCCTGTAGATCTCAAAAAACGATATTACCTTCTTGAATTGATGACGTTCTACGCATTACAACTAATGAATGCGTTTACCACTTCTTAAGACCACCTAAGGCATAATGATCCACACGCACGCAAGACAGTGGGGTATACAAGGATATAAATTGCTGTAAAAGTCAAATGCCTGAATGTAACTGTTTTTCTTTTTTTTCGGTTGAAATGATGAGTATATGGGCGTATGTGACGAGAGCTGATGCTAGACACCTCAAAAGCAAACCCCCCTCCCCCCTTTCCCCACTCCTGTAATTTAATTGTTTAGGGGTGCAGCTGACCCTATCAATTGAGACCAGAAAAAAAAAATGTAAAACCTTTATAAATCCTATCTTGATATATGGAAGTGAATCATGGATTGTTGGTAAACATGTGAAAATGTATTTGGAAGCTGGGGAGATATGGTTTTATAGACGAATAATGAGAATACCCTGGACAGATTAAAAAGGGCAATGAGAAAGTCTTGAAAAAAACTGACACGCACAGAATTGATTGCCCACATCAGAAAGAGACAATCTACATTCTTTGGTCATGTGATGAGAAGGAGAAAACTGGAGTACATTGTAAAGGTTGGAAAACAGGAGGGAAGAAGAGGTAGAGGGAGGCCGAGAGAAACAGATGCTGGACAGTTTGACATCATGGCATGAACGATCATCTTTATTAGAGTTGACTGAAAGTACACGAGACAGAAGGTTGTGGAAAAACATGAATAACAACGCAACACGGCATGGACTTCAAGAAGAAGAAGGGCTGACCCCCACAGTAATTTAATAATTAATTCAATCGGATCCACTAACACACACCACCCCCCCCCCCTTTTCCCCCACTGTGACCACCTCCACCTCCATTCTTAAGCTAAATGTTGTGGTATCACGTCGACTATAAACTTGTGCTAAGAAGGCCTTAGCACTTCTTTTACCTCTTGACACTGAACCGTCTGCGTAAATGATCAAATCCTCTGAGCGAGCACTATCTTGAATTATTTGCTGAATTTCCACCTCTGTGGCACCTGCACGCAAGTCTATTCAATATACATCTAGCCCTATATCCCCATTACACCTGAATACGTGAAAAGGGATCATTTACTTTACTTTACTGATGGTCCATATCCAATTATTCACATATTGTTATCTACAGCTAATTATCCACATATAATTATCCACATATTATCCATATCTAGCGATGCTGCATGCTGCCAGGTTCAATCTTCCCAGGGTCATTCTACAGCTGGCTCAAGCGGGAGCCAGCGTCAACTTACGGTCGGATGATGGGAACACGCCGTTCCACTACGCCTGCTACAAAGAACACTGGTGAGTTAAAAGGGAACGTTAGTGAATATTATTATCTGAAGTAGATGTGAGAATATCACTTTATTTATCATGGTTTGAAACAGATGTGAGAATATCACTGTGCTGGATATCATGGTTTGAAGTAGATGTGAGAATATCACTGTGTTGGATATTATAGTTTGAAGTAGATGTGAGAATATCATTGTGTTGGATATCATGGTTGGACATATAAATGAGAATATCACTTTGTTTGATATTATAGTTTGAAGTAGATAGATGTGAGAATATCACTGTGTTGGATATTATAGTTTGAAGTAGATGTGAGAATATCACTGTGTTGGATATTATGGTTTTACATATATATGAGAATATCACTGTGTCGGGTATCATGGTTTGACATATATATGAGAATATCATTGTGTTGGATATCATAGTTTGAAGTAAATGTGAGAATAGAACATTGGTGGGTTTCATAGTTTAAAGTAAATGTGAGAATATAATTTTGTTGGGTATCATAAGTTGAAGTAGTTATAGGATTAGCACATTGATGGGTATCATAAGTTGAAGTAGTTATAGGATTAGCACATTGATGGGTATCATAAGTTGAAGTAGTTATAGGATTAGCACATTGATGGGTATCATAAGTTGAAGTAGTTATAGGATTAGCACATTGATGGGTATCATAAGTTGAAGTAGTTATAGGATTAGCACATTGATGGGTATCATAGTATCATAGTTTTAAGCACATTTATGAAAAGAATATTTTTGTGTATCCTTGTTCAAAGTAGATATAGGAATAGAAAATTGATGCAAATCGTGGTTTGATGTGGATATAGGAAAGAACATTGATGAATTTTGGGATTTGAACTACAAGTGATAAATTATAAAAAAAATTACAATTTTCACGTCGTTTGAATCAAGCATATGAACTCAGTCTCATAGTTTTTGTTTATTCTGTGTCGCAGGCCTGCCATGGCCATGCTGGTCAGACTTGGCGCTGACCCAGACGCTGTGGACTCAAATGGGCGGACACCCTTGATCCGAGCCATAGAATGTCAGGATGAAAAACTGGTCTGCAGGCTACTTGAGGTAAGTAAGCGTTTTATACATCTGTCCATCTCTATTCAGCGGCGTCCGTGGCTTAGGCGTTACGAGTCCGACTCGTAATTCCAACGCACCGCGATCAAAACCTACTGCTGGCTGCGTGGATTTTTATCATAATATGGGGCGTCGCAGCCTAAAATGGGCACCAGGACCAGAAGGGAGCTAGAGAGTAGAGTTAAATAGATGAAGGTTAGGTTCACGTTAATCTCCCCAAATAGAGTAGGCCACTTTTCATTCACAAGTCCTGGGAAAGTAAAGACGGCCGGCGTAATGCTGACCACATTAACCTCTTAGTGCCGACGGTCTGTAAAAATATGGGCGCTCTTCCAATGTGGCCGTTACCCGTAAAGGCGTGAAAAGGGATCTTTACTTTCTTACCCCCCCCCCCTTTTTTTTAACCTGTCTATTCCACTTGGTGTCTGTGATCTACTTGTATAGTTAGCAATTATTTCAGTACAGGCCTGGAAAACTGTTAGAGCAGAGGTTCTCAAACTATGAGTCACGACCATTTTGCTGTTGAACGACCCTTTCACAGGGGTCGCCAAAGACCATCGCAAAACAAATATTCATTGAAGCTGTGAGGTAGCGACGAAAACAGTTGTTTGTTTGGGGGTCGCCACATCATGAGGAACTGTATTAAAGGGTCGCCACATCATGAGGAACTGTATAAAAGGGTCACCATATCATGAGGAATTGTATTAAAGGGTCGCTACAACATGAGGAATTGTATTAAAGGGTCACCACATCATGGGGACTGTATTAAAGGATTGCGGCATTAGGAAGTCTGAGAACTAATGTGTTAGAAAAAATTGTTTAAAGGCTTATGCTCAAGATAAGTAAAGGAGAACATCAAAATTAAATCAGATTAGTAACACTCAGGACTAAGAGCAATGTACTAATTTTACAAAACTTTAAAGAATCAACTGGTTTGGTCATCTCGTCAGAATGGAACAATATCAGCCAGCAGCAGCTAGTGAACTACATAACAGCAAGCTACACTGCAAGAGCTCGAAGGAGTTCAATGACACCAGCAACGACAACATTAGAGTCACCAAGAGACAGGGGTCTTACACACCTTGAGTCTCCCTAACATCACAGCATACCGGACAACCGAGCGTGCCTGAGCTCGGATACCAATAGTCTGTTTGTTGACCTGCAATGCCTAGCGGCTCAACTGGAACATGGGGAAAAATACGGTTTAGTTGCTTCTATGTGGTCAGTTTCACGTCTGTTGTTTTTAGTTAGTGAAAAAGTTTATCCTCTCTCTCTCTCTCTCTCTCTCTCTCTCTCTCTCTCTCTCTCTCTCTCTCTCTCTCTCTCTCTCTCTCTCTCTCTCGTGTGTGTGTGTGTGTGTATGTGTCTCACTCTGTCATTCTGTCACTGTTCTTCAAATCCTCTCTGTCTCTCTGACTACTTCTCTCTCTCACGTTCCCATACTCTCCATCACCGTATCTCTTCCTCCTCTTTCTTTCATTCTGTCTCACTTATTTAGCATTCAGATCATTCTGTCCTCTGTCATTCAAGGACCCCTTTTCGCGCCTTTTATGTGTATAGGGTATATAAGGCATCACGCCGGCCGCCTTTACTTCCCGGGACTGCACCCGGTACCCAATCAAGGCTGGGTCGACCTGGGAGCCAAGGTCATTTTAAAAAAAGGTCTGGCTCCGCCAGGGAGCGAACCCACGACCTTCCGATCCGCGGCAAGCGTCTATCCGCTCCTCCACGGCGTCTCCCAATTCATATGGTAGAACAGCCAAAATATTTTTTTTTTAAAGAAGAAAAGAAAAGCATAATGCCTGAGATATAACCCATCTATCATTTATTCCTTTCCCAGTTAGGAGCCTCACCCCAAGCCTGTGGAGAGAATGAGGTCACGCCCCTGTTCGCTGCCCTATCTCTGACGGGAGCTGTACCCAAGAGCTCTAACACCAGCATTGTCCGAAGACTCCTAGATGCCGGATGTGACGTCAACACAGAGAACAAGAGTGGCAGCAGTCCCCTGACATTTGTGTGTTTACATCATCGACATAATGCTGAACTCATTGAGATGCTTATCCAGCGGGGAGCAGCGGTTAATTTTAAGGTAATTTTTCTTATGTCCTCCTCTTCTTGTGTCCTTATTCGGTGAAGTGTCACAGTTTGGGTGTAATTTCCTGGCGTTTGCTAGTTATCTAGCTTGTGTTAATGTCATATTACCTTTCTGTAGTGTCTGTTTCACTCCCTCCATCCACATCTTTCTTGGTCTGCCTCTTGTATCCTGTTGTTCTTACGTAGCAGATTTAGTTCCTTTCTGAACAGATGATCAAACTGTTTGATTCTCTGATGTTCTATCAAATCATTTACCAGTACTGTGTCTACCATTGTTCTTAGTTCTTCGTTGATAACTTGTAATGTAGATTTATAAATATTTTCTAATAGTCCATTTATTTATCTTCAAATAATAATAATAATAATAATAATAATTTTTTCAATAATCAGGTGCAAATTAATTAAATTGTAGTTTAATTTGTGTATAAATATACTCGATAACAATTGTTACCACCGACCAGCTAATCCTCAAGATGGCCGTGGCCAGCCTCACAAATACGGGAATTCCAGTATGAGCTGTACGGCCTTATATCTGGAGCTGGCCGTGGTCATGGCTAAGCCCGCCTGCCGCCCCCCCCCCCCACTTTTTCTGTGTTTAATTTGCGTAGGCGCCTCTGCATGGCGCTTGCGCTAAGAAGGGAGATAATCACTAAAGTAGAAAACAGCAGAGGGGAAAAACATCCTGAAGCGACACCCGCCCCCACCTCGCCTTCCCGCCTGCCCTAAAAATATCCCGAAACAGTCAACGAAAAGGGGATGGTTTCTATTGATTATCCCACTCCTCTTGTTTTTGTGTTTTCCTATGGCGTGTCTTATCAGCCACTGTGCCTTTTAGTTGGAGCTACGTTTTCATTTTCTGCGGGATTATTACCCTATCCTATTTAATTCCCACCCCTATATTGGACTGCAAGTTGCTTGGTTACCGTAAATTGAGAGGGAACCCTTGAGGCCGTAGAAACATTATATTTATATAATAGGAAAACAGACAGTGTATTGATCGGCACTCTTAGAAAAAAATAGAAAGACATAAGGACACACTAATCTTGAGAACCAAATAATTATAATGTCTTTGCACTTGAACCAGCGGGGGCGTAGGAATTAAAAAAAAGATTTAAAAAAAAAACAAAAACGCATGGAGAAGGGAGCTAGAGAGTAAAGTTAAATAGATGGGGAGATCATCGGGAGAGCTACCTGCGATAGCGAAGGATAGAAGGACTTGGCGTGAGTTGATTGAGGGCCTATGCTCCATTGAGGGTTAGAAGGGCAGAGGTTTTGTACAGTCCCCACCCCTCACTCCCACCCCTCACTCCCACCCCTCACTCCCACTCCTCACTCCCACCCCTCACTCCCACCCCTCACTCCCACACCTCACTCCCACACCTCACTCCCACCCTCACTCCCACCCCTCATTCCCACCCCTCACTCCCACCCCTCACTCCCACCCCTCACTCCCACCCTTCACTCCCACCCCTCACTCCCACCCTTCACTCCCACCCCTCACTCCCACCCCTCACTCCCACTCCTCACTCCCACCCCTCACTCCCACATCTCACTCCCACCCCTCACTCCCACACTCACTCCCACCCTCACTCCCACCCCTCATTCCCACTCCTCACTCCCACCCCTCACTCCCACCCCTCACTCACACCCCTCACTCCCACCCCTCACTCCCACCCCTCACTCCCATCCCTCACTTCCACCCCTCACTCCCACCCCTCACTCCCACCCCTCACTCCCACCCCTCATTCCCACCCCTCACTCCTACCCCTCACTCCAACCCCTCACTCCCACCCCTCACTCCCACCCCTCACTCCCACCCCTCACTCCCACCCCTCACTCCCACCCCTCACTCCCACCCCTCATTCCCACCCCTCACTCCCACCCCTCACTCCAACCCCTCACTCCAACCCCTCACCCCCACATCTCACTCCCACCCCTCACTCCCACCCCTCACTCCAACCTCTCACTCCCACATCTCACTCCCACCCCTCACTCCCACCCCTCACTCCCACCCCTCACTCCCACCCCTCACTCCCACCCCTCACTCCCACCCCTCATTCCCACCCCTCACTCCCACCCCTCACTCCAAACCCCTCACTCCAACCCCTCACTCCCACATCTCACTCCCACCCCTCACTCCCACCCCTCACTCCCACCCCTCACTCCTACCCCTCACTCCCACCCTCACTCCCACACCTCACTCCCACCCCTCACTCCCACCCTTCACTCCCACACCTCACTTCTAACCTTCACTCCCACCCCTCATTCCCACCCCTCACTCTCACCCCTCACACCCACCCCTCACTCCTACCCCTCACTCCAACCCCTCACTCCCACCCCTTACCCCCACCCCTCACTCCCACACCTCCCCCGTTTCTTTGTTTCCAAATGCGTTCAACTTTCTCTTCATACATTTAGTGCTTCAACAAAGTTCACGAATACATTACATTGACTATACATTACATTAACTATACATTACATTGACTATACATTACATTGACTATACATTACATTAACTATACATTACATTAACTATACATTACATTAACTATACATTACATTAACTATACATTACATTGACTATACATTACATTGACTATACATTACATTAACTATACATTACATTAACTATACATTACATTCACTGTACATTACATTGACTATAATTACATTGACTATTCTAATGTCCAAAAATACAATTAAAAAAACATTGTTAGTTAATACTCGAACCATTTCACCCCCACAGGACACCTATGGGAGGACGCCACTGACACACTGTTTGCGCACTGATATTGACGAACGCGCCGACAGCTTGACTCTTCTGCTGCGGGCAGGGGCGGATCCAAATGTGGTGGATAGGGATGGGCATACGTCTCTCAGTATTTGGGCCTTGAATTTAAATTCTACCTTGACATATGGCCATGGCACCGGCAGGTAACTATCAACATCATTGTCGTGTCATCTTCATCATCCTTCTTACGAACGTACCCACACATAAACAAACGAAGGAACCCCACAGCTCGAGACCAGCCAGGCATGTTCATCTACCACCCGATTTAATCTCGCCCATACCTGTTCCAGTGCCGCCCCAGGCAAACGACCTAACCTTGTCAGGGCAGGCCAAGACCCCCTTCCTACATATTTTAACCGGACAGATAGAATAAAACTCAGGCGTGATGAAACGACGCAAGGAAAAACTAAAAGACTATTAAAAACTAATTAGTAATTCCAACCAATAAAACTCAGCTTTCACAGCACCGCGGCTCAACTTAGGAGCTGGTGACAAAAAGCACGAAATGTTTGTTTATTTTTAACTTTCTCCACGAACCTCTAATGAGTTAGTTAGTTAGTTAGTTAGTTAGTTAGTTAGTTAGTTAGTTAGTTAGTTAGTTAGTTAGTTAGTTAGTTAGTTAGTTAGTTAGTTAGTTAGTTAGTTAGTTAGTTAGTTAGTTAGTTAGTTAGTCGACAGATAATCCTCATTTTACATCGAACCATTCAATAGATAAGTGCTCGGATTCCCTCGTTAAGTAAATCGCACAGCGTGTAACGGCTCACGATACCAGGTCTGTGTTGGTTTCCTAATCTTCTTTGGCTTTCTGCTTTTTTTAAACATTTTCTTCTTGCTGTCTGGTTATGGTTGCAGATTTAAAAGCATCACCTGGTTTTCGCAAACGTCTTACTCCTCGTAAAGCATTCAGAATATCACCATGGTCCGTGCCACGTCCGCCCTCCACAGTAGCTTTGCCTGCAAGACTATTAGCTTGCTCCTATCCTTGCACGCATGCGTGACCTGGCACAAATATGAAACAGATATGTGTCAACGCCGACCGCTTTAGAGACTACAGCCACTGTCTTCGGATCCAGCCCTTCTATATCTTCCTGGACATACTCACTGAGTCACTGAAAAAAAATGCTCGGGAAAAGGTCTATGTCTCAAACCATATTATTGTTTTGGTCGCTGCCATGACCTCCATAGTCAGACTACTTGTGGTCAACGCAACAGCGTCAGAAACTTGCTTTACAATTCTTACTCCAGCCGGAGCCGTAAAAGCCTAAGAGCTTTCAAAGGCGAATAACAGACCGATCTGTGTATATCGTAGCCCCCCCCCCCCCCTTTCCCGCCCGTAAAGAATTCTTGAAAATAAAAGTCTGTAATGAGAATTCTGGTCTCAAAACTCTGTGAAGAGAAAACCCTAACTGCACCTCCACGCGGTAGAGGATGGTAAACACCTTGTGGTGTGGCCAGCGCAGCTATGGGGACCGAGTATCCGCCGGGATAAGTGGATTCCTCTGTGGGTGTCTTCTGCTGTTAGCAGGAGCATCACATAGCAGGGCACTCACTTGTCCTAGCAATCGAAAAGGTTGCTAAAGGCTGAGGACATGGTCTAAAGCCATGTGGGTGAGGAAAGCAAGGAGAAACTACCACATTGCTATCCCCAGAAACTTAAAAAAAAAAAAAGGCTTATTGAGTATGAAAGTACGTGAGGCTGGTGAGCTGGCCAAAGGTAGAGTTTCTTTCAGGCAGACTGTGATGAGAGCGACGTTCAGCAAAGGACCTGCTTCATGAAGATGAATGAATATAACAGTAAAAGAATGTATAGTTCGGTGTTACACTACTATATTATTATATCAAATAAATCCTCAATCAAGTCTTATGATAGTTTTGACATTGTATTACACCCCCCCCCATCCCCCTCCCTTGCGGGATGCAATTTTCCGTGATAAAGCCCCGCCATAAATATTGTATAATAGCTAAACGCGGTTCACGGGACCTCTCCACGGGGGATCATCATCCATATGGTAACACTTTGTGTCATCGGGTGTTTATCTCTTGTGTGATGTTCGAGTGGGGTATAGTGTACTACTACTATCTGACATTGCAGACTGAAGATAGTTTAACTCTTAAGTTTGTTTATAGTTTTAGCTATTAGGTATATTGATATTTTAACTATGAAGTCTGAATATAGTTTCACCTCTAAAGTCTGAAGGTCGTTCAATTATGAAGTCTAACGATTGTTTAGCTATTAAATCAGAAGATAGTTTAACTATTAGGTCTGATTATATTTAAACTATTAGGTTTGGCGATATTTTTACTACTAAATCTGAGTATAGTTTTAACTATTGACTGATGATAGTTTAAACTTTAAACTTTAGGTCTAACTACAGTTTATTCTGAGTCTTGTGATAGTTTTACCACTAACTTTTAAAGATTGTTTAACTATGAAGTCTAACGATTGTTAAAACTGTTATGCCTCATGATAGGTTAAACTTTCAAGTCTAATGAAACTGTTTAGTCTAACGATTGTTAAAACTGTTATGCCTCATGATAGGTTAAACTTTCAAGTCTAATGAAACTGTTTAGTCTAACGATTGTTAAAACGGTTATGCCTCATGATAGGTTAAACTTTCAAGTCTAATGAAACTGTTTAGTTTAACGATTCAAGGATCTATGGTCTAAGGAGAATGGCGCTGCGAGGAGTTACCAGAGGATCTGGCCGGCGCTTCCAGAATTGGAACTCTTCGCTTGCTGTTGAAGATGGGGACTGAGCACTTATGGGAGTGTCCCGAGTGCTGTGATGTCGATTCTTAATTCAACATTTAACATTCAATTCTAACGATAGTTCAAACTATATGGTCTTGTTATAGTTCCAACTTTTAAACATAATAATAGTTTTAACAATTAAGCCTCTGACATAGAGAAATATATGTGTAAGACATTACTGATAGTATTACAGTACCATGGTCAAACGAAATTGATAATTTTGAAGTAGAACAGCATTTGACGGTTGACGGTACATATAACGATCATGCCAGCATCTCGTCGGGCGCGATATTTCGTGTCGGCTCCCATTCATGTCGTAGTCATTTCCACGGTCTGTTCTATGTTCTAGAGTGTTAGAACATGCGCTCCTTCACGTTCATTTGAGGCCAGACATGACGAAAGTGCACATATCTCTTTCCTGGCAGGCGACATTGAGTTACATATTTTTTGTGTGCGTGTGCTCTGGCGAGTGTTCAAGAAGTTTTCTTTTCTTTATCAACTACGTCTCTCGTGCAACGTCGGAGTTCACTTCACCAAGTTAAGCCGCAGCGATAGCAATGAAGGGTCAATGCACAACGCTGTAACACACACATTGCCGCCGCTCACAACGTGGAAAACCGAACGTGCTGGCCACTCACAACTGGAAATATAGACTGCTTACAGCGTTGAAAATAACAAAACGCCACACCCCTAGAACAGAGAACAGCCCAGGAGAACGACCACGGTATGAATGGAAGCCGATACGAAATCTCGCGCGCCGCGAGATGTGGGCATGTTTGTAATACTAATGCGTAGCGCACTGACTTTTTTTTATTTCTAATGAGTAAATGTTTACACCATATGATTAAACATAATTCCCCAACACTTGGATTATTTCTTCTCTTCAGGGATCACCAAAGAACCTTATCACAACTACTGATTTGTGGCGCCAATCCCAATGTTGTCACAAACGTCACCAGTCCTGATTACCTCATGCACACAATTGTTTGTCTTGGGCGTTACAACGAGGCTCGAGCACTGTTGGCTGCAGGTACAGTCGTCGTCTTCTTCTTCTTATCGTCACTGTCATGATCATCATCATCATCGTCGTCATCATCATCTTCATCATCATTGTCATTATCAAGTAGCAAAGTGGTCTCTGTGGCGAAGTTCTCAAGCTGTTTGCCTCGCACACTGAAGGTATGGCTTCAGTTCAGGAGTGCAGTTTTTACAGACATCCCTGTCGATCGTTGCCGGAGCTATGGAGGTCGTGCTCTGTGCGACACTAGCTGTTCTGCGGAGAGAGACTGAGCTATATGGTATAAGACCCGGTGAAATGAAGTCAGTCCTCTCACCTCTACCTTTACCTGCTGCGTATCAAGGCCTTTGCTTGAAAGAAACTCGGTCCCTCGACAGATCTCCCACGTAGTGAATTTTCATGTATATCCTGTGCACGTCTGCGTGCTAGTTTACCCCTGCCCCTCATTCCTGGCATCATACCCTAGGCTACTACTCTTTCCAATCTATCGTAGCACTTGATATGACCAATGCATTTAAGATTTTAAGACACAAGGCTTTTTTTTTTACTAGCCAATCTTTCTTAATGTTCAGATCTTTTAGGATATCAGCAACCTTTTCTTTGAGCTCCAAGGTATTTTAAGAATCTATAATATTTCAACTCGAAAACCCATATTTTCATCCATAAGGACCCCGAGAAAGTCCACGACTCTTCTCCGGAGTTGCTACAGGGTGACTTCATTTACTTACTGATGCTTAACCATAGATCTTTTAGCGTTGGTAATCAAGTAGACCCACATCCGTTTGTCTTATGTACTGTAAGAATACTGTTCCAGTAACATTTTGGTTAGGATTGAAGGACGTAATTACTGGATAAGACAAGGGAGTTAAGAAAAGTGTATTAGTGAAGGGCTATCACCCATAATGATTATTTAACTTACGGACCCTTTTCACTCACTGAAACCTTGAGATGTCATTGGAAGTAAAAGCGGTCAGTATGATGATCCCCACTTCACTCATCTACTGCGAATGGACTATCCGGTGTGGGTGTAGCAGATCCTTTTCAGACCATGAATCTTTTCTTTGGCAACTTATCACCCTTATTTGGTGATGCTGGCGTAAAGGGTAATGAGCAAGCAGACCAGCTGACAAGCAATGCAACAACGCATGTGGGAAGAGGTATGGACATAGTAGATATCATTATCACTGTACGGACTGTGCTAGTGGATAATGACGAATCTCGTACACTAACACGATTACGAGACATGGGAGTAAAGCATGATGAAGCACGTTTATGCCGCCTTCGAGGCTAAAATAGGAGACACTATAACCAACCTCTCATTGGAACAATTAGTAAAACTACCTTTGAGTGGTTACTGCATCGAGGAGCCCGGGTTCGAATCTCCGGTAAAGCTGGGGATTTCTTCTGTTGGAAGCAAAATAAAATCTTCACCTGCACAGTCGTGGCGACAGCACTAACCAGGTCGCCTTAAATCCTCAGGCTCAAAGACCCTCAGGCCTACACCGCAAAAGTGGTATAATAAAGACAGTAATTGGCATTTATGGTTGCTGCATCGGTGGACTTAGCACGCTTGGGAATGCCTAATTTGCAGTGACGTCGATTGTGATAGCATAAAAATTTGGCAACTTATGGATGTTACAGACCCTAACTTAATCACCGAAACAAATCAGAGATTTTGAACTGAGGTTTTAGAGGTTTTGAACAATGGATCAACATCATAGCACACGGGTAGTAGCCCACAAATTCTCTGTTCTTCTTCTAACTCAAGTCTGAGTCCGAAGACGCTCAGCTCAGTGTTTAGGCTCTGTAACACAGGCGAGGATCCTGAAATACTTGGGTGAATTTTAACTCAAAATTTTGCCCGGGCAGCGCCGTTAGCTACTCTTTTCGATATCCAACTGCCAAGGGATTTTTTTAACGTGCGCAACAATGCACACGGGCGTTCGATCTCACTACCCAGAGACCAGGAGGAATAACTTGAAGTCCAAGTCCACGTGAACAAATTCCAGCCTTAACCGGGGATTGAACCCGGAACCTCTAGCCCTTTATTTATTTATTTCACAATTATTAGGTCTGATTATCATTTTAGCTTTCGGGTTTGGTGATATTTTAACTATTAAACTTATTATTGTTTTGACTATTGTCTGACAGTTGTTTACATTTTAAACTTTTAAGTCTGATTACAGTTTAAACTAACAAGTCTGGTGATAGTTTTACAACTTGCGCCTGAAAATAGTTTAACTATGAAGTCTGATGATAGTTAAAAGCCCAGTGATAGTTTACACGTTTAAAGCCACGTGATTTTAACACCATATCTTCACATTTCCTTTTCAGGTGCAGCGCCATTGCTTCCGATTCAAAGTCTTCAGGATTGTCACCAATCCCACAGTTCAGCTCTGCTTACCGCAATTATGAATAACAGTTTACACTTGGCCAAGCTACTTGCAGACGCTCTATTTTACACTCAACAAGACCTTCAGTTGTTGTCAAGACTGTGTTCTCCAACAAACCAAAGTGTTCTGAAGTTTGTAAACACGAAAGACAAATCTCCTACAAGAGGTTTTGCTGACAGACTAATAAAATCCAGATCAAGACCTGATTTGCTTGATGACAATTTAAAAAGGTCACTTGACCTAGATGTTAATGCCAATATAACTACTAAATTGTTTCGGAGATGTCAGTCAACAGATACGCTTCTGAGCTCGTATCTTAGTCCAACAAATGGACAGTTTCAAGACAAGATGTCAACCGCTCTGTCAAATGATTCAATCATAAATGGCAGTGAGAAATCCAGCATGCTTAAAAAGTCACACAGCAGAAATCTGGATTTGGATACCAACGAAACAATACTTGAAAATGAAACAGAAGACATGGTCATCGCAGACCCCAATATGCGGAACTTTATAGACAAATTGTGTGCGAATGTTCCCAGTCTGAAAGCTCTTTGCAGAAGATCGATACATCGTGCAGTCAGATGTAACGGAGACAGATCCGCCGCTGTCGGTCAGCTTCCGATTAAACCTAGTCTTCGGAGGTATATTCTCTTTGAGATGCAAGAAGAGAAACCAGTTTTGAAGTTTCAGACTGAGGAAATTCCGTACGTGGAAAAAAAGAACAGACACTGGACAAACCGCGTGATCGTCAGATTACCTGTTAAAGTAATCATAGACGAGTGATTCTCTGTTATCCTTGAGATTTAATGTTTTTTTATATGCACATTTTGTCAGAACTAAACCAATATGACATTGTCAGCTGTAACGTCTATTGTAACAACCAAGAGGTTTTGAAAGAGGCGGGAGCCCAAAGACAACTAATCACAGACATCAGAAGGAGACAGTCAATATTTTTTGGCAATGTTATGAGAAGAGGGAAAATAGAACATGTTACCACTGGAAAGATCTGTGGAAGGAGGGATAGAGGAAGTCAACGAGAGAAGATTCTTGACAGTCTTGTTGAATGGCATGGATGTGTGTCGGCACACGAACTGATACATGCTGCAGAAGATCGTGGATTGTGGAGAGGCATGATCGTCCACTCCAGTTGGCAAGGCACCTGATGATGATGAATGTCCATTGTAAATTACGTGTCTTTGATAGAGAGTTCAAAGATGCTGTCAAATATGAGATGTGGTGGGTTTTTTTAACGCTTCACCTCCGGCTGTTCAATCTATCGGTTGAACGGAGTTCCTGGGAATGTCCCCTGGTGATCCTAATATGAATGGTGGTACTTTGTGTCACCGGGAGTTTATCGCTCGGTGTAATTTCCTGGTGAGGGTGAAGTTGAACGTCAATCATTTATCTTTAATAGAGACGCATCTTTTGTCGTTGTGATTACTTCCCCTGTTTAAACAAATATGTGTTTGGAGACGGGGTATGAATGCTACACGTGTTGAGGTGGAAACAGGAATGCCATGGCTCGTGCTGCATGGCGGGGAAAGATCAGGGGGGGGGGGGACGACCCTCTTAAAAAAATCTACAGACGGGCTAACATCTAACATCTTAGCGTGTAAAAAGAAACACACACAAAATGCGATGAAACAAAAACCCATACATCCTATACATTTACTGAGGAAGTCTTCTTCAGAATCTTTAAAGTCTTGCTAGTCATACTTGCCATTGCTATAGTGGTTATTCCTATGCCTCGCTATCATCATGTAGCAGGTTCTTTGCAGAACGTCGCTCTCATCACGGTCTGTCTGAAAGAAACTCAGCTCTCGCGGCTCGTGTACTTTTATATTCAAGGATTCACTTATATCCTGTGCCCATCTTCGTGTTGGTCGGCCTCGCTATCAGTGAAGGCGGTCAGTTGTCTGTTGATCACATCACACGTGAAGTGTTGATTGGCCTACAGAAGTATGTATCCGATAGTCATCTAGTTTCCCATTCCTAATACGTCACGGGCGTACTACTGTTCTTTACGTACCACTGTTGTTTGTGTACCACTGCTCTTTATGTACAACTGTTCTTTGCATACTACTGTTCTTTACGTTTTACTGGGTTTATTTTATTTTACCACTGTTCTTTACCTACTACTGTTCTTTACGTACCACTGTTCTTTATGTACCATTGTTCTTTACGTACCACTGTTCTTTACGTACTACTATTCTTTATGTACAACTGTTTTTTTACATACCACTGTTCTTTACCTTCTACTGTTCTTTATGTGCCACTGTTCTTTATGTACAACTGTTCTTTGCGTACTACTGTTCTTTATGTACCGCTGTTCTTTATGTACTACTGTTCTTTACATCCTCTGGTTTTTACTTACCACATTCCTTTTTCTTTATGTACTATTTTTTTAAATGTAACTACTGTTCTGTACATACTACTCCTCTTTTTGTGCCACTGTTCTGTATGTAATACTGTTCTTTACGTACTACTGTTCTTTAGGTTCTACTGCTTTTTTATGTACTACTTTTCTTTACTTACTACTGTTCTTTACTTATTACTTTACTGTAAACACTATCGTCTGGAAAGGCAAGAAGAGGCAACCAATTAAGGTATTCAGTTATG